CCCCCACACTCACGCCCACACCCCATCCCCTCCCCCTCCCTCTCCACCAGGACATCCGTTCATTCATGGGCGGAGGCGGGAGCAAGCCCAAGCCCAAACCCCAGTCCAAGCCCAAGCCCAAGCCCAAGCCTACTGCCACGCCGAACACCGCCATCGCCACCGCCACCGCCACCGCCACCGCTACCCCGACTACCGCTTCCCGGCGTCCCATCGTCCTCGACTCGTCCTCCGATGACGACTTTATGGCTCCGCCGCCAAAGGTTGTTGCCACTGCGCCTATGGCAAAGTCCGCCAACAAGCAAAAGCGGAAGGCTGTGCCCATCTCTATCGTTCCCGTCGGGCCGAGATCAGCGCCCATCATCCCGGGCTCATCGCGTCCACCGTCAACAGGTAAGGCACGCCCGCCGGTCCGCATCGCTCCGAAAGCGTCATCAGCATCGCCATCGCCGTTGCCATCTTCAGCCAAGCCTGCACCCAAGCCGGCAGCAGCCAAGCCTCAGACATCCAAGCCGGCAGCAGCCAAGCCTCAGACAGCCAAGCCGGCAGCAACCAAGCCTCAGACAGCCAAGCCGGCAGCAACCAAGCCTCAGACAGCCAAGCCGACAGCAGCCAAGCATCAGGCATTCAAGCCACCCACAGCCAAGCCACCCGCGCCCAAGACAACCCAATCGGCGCCGCCGAACCTGCTCCCGCCTCCCAAGTCGACGATTGATGTGGTGGCGGCGGGCGCGCCCAAGTTCTCGGATGTGGGCGTGACGGCGTCATTTGACGAGACGGTGGTGCTGGACAAGGCCGGCGTTCCCAAGGGCAAACCGTACTGTATGCAGGGCTTGCACATTTGCGTCACCGGCCAGCTGCGCGCCCTCGAGCGAAATGCCTTCCACGACCTTGTCCTTCGCTACGGCGGCAAGCCGGCCAAGTCGGTGACCAAGAAGCTCCACTACCTGGTCATCGGCGAGGCTCCCGGCGAGGCCAAGCTCAAGAAGGCCAAGGCGCAGAACGTGACTATCCTCTCTGAGGACGACTTCTTTGCCTGGTATCCCACCTTGCCCGAGCAGGCGTACGCGCCGTCCAAGACGACCAAGGCCAAGACAAGCAAGGCGGCACAGGCGTTGGCGAGCCGGGCATCTGCCCCGACCTCGGCTGCACGCCCGACCTCGCTCCCGGCCACGGCCAAGGCTGCCGTCGATCCGTCGAGCCAGCTATGGACGGTCAAGTACGCGCCGCAGACGGTGGGCGACTTGGTGGGCAACACGACCAAGATCGAGAACCTCTCGCTGTGGCTGGCCAACTGGCACACCGCCTTCCGCTCAGGCGTGGCAGTCAAGATCAAGAACTCGAGCGGTAAGCCTGTTCCGCTCAAGTCGCGGGCGGTCCTCCTCTCGGGCCAACCCGGCATCGGAAAGACGTCGGCCGCGCTGCTGGTTGCCCGTGCCGCCGGCTTCCACCCGATCGAGTTCAACGCATCGGACACGCGGTCGAAGACCTCGCTCCGGGCGCACGTCAAGAGCCTCACCGAGAACAAGACCATGCATCAGTTCTTTGGCGGTGCGAGCACGGCACGGGAGACCAAGAAGCATGTGCTCATCATGGACGAGGTCGACGGTATGTCGTCCGGCGACCGTGGCGGCCTCGCCGAGCTGGCCGCCATCATCAAGACCACCAAGGTTCCCATCATCTGCATGTGCAACGACGCGGCGTCGCCCAAGATGCGGACGTTCAAGAACCACACGTACCTGCTCCCGTTCCAGCGCCCGACCGCGGCGCAGATCAAGCACCGGGTCGTCTCCATCGCCGCCGCCGAGGGCCTCGCCCTCGAGCCGGCCGCCGTCGACTCGCTCGTTGCGCAGACCGGCGCCGACATCCGGCAGATCCTCAATCTCATGCAGATGTGGGCTGTCGACGCCCAGATTGTCAACTACGAGACGGTGCAAAAGACGCTCGCCACAGGCGGGAAGAACATCGACCGCGGCCCGTTCCAGCTCATGGAGGACTTTCTCAAGGGCGACAACTTTCGAGCGCTCGGCGCCATGGGCTGCCTCAACGCGTACTTTGGCGACCCGTCGCTCGTCCCGCTCCTTGTCCAGGAGAACTACCTGTCAACCCGCCCGTTCCAGGCCCAGCCGGGCAACCCGATCCGGACCTGCGACATGATGAAGCGCTCTGCCGACGCCATCGCCTACGCAGACATCCTCGAGACCCGCGCCCGCTCGGTCCAGTCGTGGAAGTACATGCCCATCCACGCCGTCCTCTCCTGCGCCGTACCGGGCTTTTACATGCATGGACACATGCATCGCCCTGCCTTCTCCGCCTGGCTTGGCAAGTACTCCAAGGCCACTCGCCTCTCGCGCCTCAACCGTGAGCTCACCATCCACATGCGCCTCCGCATCTCGGCCTCGCCCGATGCCGTCGTCTGCGACTACCTGCCTACTCTCGCCTCGCTCCTCGCCCTCCCGCTCGCCCACGAGACCGGCGTCGACGCCATGATCGAGCGCATGGCCTACTACTATCTTACTCGCGACGACTGGTCGAACATCATGGAGCTCGCCGCTCGCTCGCCGAAGCTCAAGGCTACCACCTCGTCCATCTCTGGCAAGACCAAAGCCGCCTTTACCCGCGCCTACAAGAAGCGCGCCGCATCCCTCGCCCTGCCGTACACCACTGCCGCGACCACAAAAGCCGTGTACAAGGGCGGCAAGTCGGACGGGAAGAAGGCGCCCAAGCCTGTCCTCCCGCTCTCGGACGACGACGACGACGACGACGCAAACTCGTCGCTGGCAAACATCCTTGCTGTTGGCGACGGCGAGGACGACGACACCATCTCGCGCAAGCGCGCCCGCGCCGAGCCAGATCCGTTCGACTTTGACCGCCCGACCAAGAAGCGCTGATTGAGTCTACCAGCTTCTCACCCGAGCGCCGCCAAGTACTTGCCGGCCTCGCCCCGCCAAGCCACTTCCCGGTTGCCATCGGCACCGGGTGGCAGTCGGACGTCGATTGCAAAGCCTTGTGCGAGCGGGCCGACCCCGTCGGTGGTAAACGCTGCGCTAAAGTTGAGGCCCGGCAGCTTGTCACAGCCAAACTTGACCAGAATCCGCGCCGCGGTGCCGGGCGGTGGCGGGACCGGGAGCTCGTACTGCAGCGTCGCAGCGGTCGTCGTCGTCGGCGCCGGCTTGGACTGCGGCGCGACCATGGGTGCCGACGCCGAGAGCTTAAAGCTGCACGACGCGAGTCTAGCCGTGCCGAGCGCCGGCGTGGTGTAGCTGAGGATGGCGGCGCCGTGGCTGGCATCGAGCATCCGGGCAGAGACCTTGAGGCCAAGCGGGAGCGCCGCGGCAGCTGGCCCTGCCGCCACCTGGTATTTGAGGAGAACGACACGGGTGTCAGGCGCGACTGTGGTGCCGGCTGGCACGACAAAGGCGGACTGGCTTCCTTCCTCGGCCACCAGCGCCTTGGGGTTCGGCAGGATCCGGCCCAGCAGCTCGGCGGCGGGCGACGGAAAGGCGACGCGAAGGCCGGCGAGCAAGACAGGTCCCTTGCCTGGTCCAGCCGTTGCCGTCAGCGAGAGCTCGCCCACAAGCATGACCTTGGCCGGCTCGTCGCCGGACCCGGCCCACTTGGCGTGGACAACCTCGTCAACTGCCAACGCCAGGACCGGCGCCGCCTCACCGTCGGACGACCATCCCGAGTCGGTGTCGAGGCCGACCTCAGTGTCGCCCGACTGGAACCGGAGCGGGCCCCGCGACGAGGCGTTGTCGTCACAATCGCTATCTGGCGAAGCCGTCTCGGGCTCATCCGGTGAGGTCGAGTGGGGCAGCGGCGCCGGCGCGAGCGAAAACCCGACGCCCGGCGGAAGCTCGAACCGTGGCTGCGGCGGCGGCACGGCTGAGTTGGAGCCCGGGTCCGAGTCGGAGCCGAGGTCTGAGTGCGAGCCCGAGGTCGTTTGAGCGGTGGTCGGGAGCGGGACTAGCGGCGGGGCGTGGGCGTCGGGCGGCGGTGCCCGCTGCGGGATGGCAGCGGCGGCTACTGCGGTGGCCTCGGCGAGCTGGCGGGCACCAGGCGGCGAGGCATCCGCCGTCCGAGCAAGTGACGGGGAGAGGAGCGCGCCGGGGCGGTGGAGAAAGAGAGTCGAGGCGGACGCGACCTTGACCTTGGGTGTCTCTAGCGGCGAGGCGGCAGGCATGGGTGGAGCAAACGAGGGGCCAAAAGCGTCGAACCGCGAGCGATGGCGCTCGGGCGAGGCAGCGGCAGCGGCAACTGAAGTCGGCAGCGTAATGTGCAGCCGCTTGGCCGCGTCCACGTTGGCAGAGTGGAGGAGCGCGGCAGGGAGCGCGGCGGCCCAGTCGTTGTGGACGACGCGAGCGGCATCGGATGCCGCATCGTCAACACTGGCGGCCAGCTTGGCCACGTCGTCTTCGTCGAACAAGCTCCCCAGCGCCTTGGACGAGCCCGCCGCCGCCTCGACCGCCGGCACCAGCGGTGAGTCTGCCAGCAGCTCGACAAGAGCAAGATGGACAACAGCGTAGCGACGGCGGAGATCGGCAGGCGTGACCTGATCCGACTTGCACACGGCTTTGAGCAAGGCAGCCGAGTCTGCCAACAGGCGCGATGCGGCAAAGACATTGTCTGTCGTCTGCGAGATGACCACAGCATAGACGCGATGAACAAGGAGATAGTCGGCACGATGGTCAGGGAAAAGATCCATTTGACCTGCCCGAAAATTAGGCTGGCTCGCCTTGAGGCCATTGGCAAACTCCTCTGCCCGCATTGTTCCCATGGTCCGTCCAAAGTCCTCGCCGAGTGCCACCGCATGTCGGTGTTCGAGCCCAGGTCGTCTGTATGGATGGGGGTGAGTGTGGGGAGGGGGGGGGGGGTGGGGGGGGAGGGGGTAGGGGGTAGGGGGTAGGGGCGGTAGCGTACGTCACTGTAAACAGTGTGGTGCCAGAGTCGTCCTGGACCACCACGGCCACTGCCATGTGTGTGTGTGTGTGGGGAGGGCGGCGGAGAGTGGGGTGGTCCGGGGGTTGGGGGAGTTGGCACCACGATTAACTGAACAAGAGGTTATTGATGGCGGCGGGTGACGAGTAGCGGCCGGTGGGTGGTGAGCGAGGGGAGACGGGCACGAGTCGGTTGTCGACCGCCAAACGCCAGCAGAGCCACCACTTGACTCGGCTGCTTGCGTTCTCCCCTACGCCATCCCCAACCACCCTCCCCCCTCCGAACCTCCACCACACCACACCCACCACAACCACCCATACCCACTTTGGCCCATCTTCACCCCTATCCCTATCGCCACCTCCACCTCCATCTCCATCCCCTCGGCCCATGACGCGTCCGGCAGGCGTCAGCGGCTGGCTCCGTGCTGCCTCGCATCTCCTTCGTGAGCGACTGGGAGGGCTACGGGCGGCACGACGAGTGGCTGCTGACGGCCAGCAGAGCAGCGGTCTTCGCTCCGATGGCGCTACTGTTGGAAGAGAGGCGGATCCGGTAGCGGGAGGGGTCAGCTCGGCCGAACTGTGGGAGGCCGAGGAGCGCGGCAAGGGCCAAGTGTTCCGATGCATGGCGGCGGCGAGGAAGAAGGTCATCCGAATGACGTGGGCGAATGGCGTGGAGAGCTCCAGCAGAAGCCCAGGCGGAAGATCGGGCGGAGATGCGGCACCAGCGCAGGCGTCGATCCGTGTCCAGTCGACCGGCTACACGCCGTGGGAGCCACCGGCGGCTGCGACCGCAGCCGATGGGTTTGTGATCGACAAGTCGGCCCACGCAAAGGCGCTGCTGTCGATGCGCGGGGCTGGCTATGTCATTCGCCCGCAGGGCTGGGGCAAGACGACGTTGGCACGCGCGGTGGCGGGAGTCGGCGGCAGCAGTGGGGCCGGCGACAGTGACGAGCCGCCTGGCGCCGTCCTGGTCTGGCGGCTAGGGGCAGACATTCCGTGGCCGACCGAGATGGCGGTGCTGAAGGACGCGCTGCGAGCGTCGCATGCCACCGCCGTTGTCATCGACGACGCCGACACGCGTGCGCTCACGCCCAAGCAGATGTGCACGCTCTTTGAGACAATGCGGTGCCTTGTCGCCGACGCACCGGCGCTCAAGCTGGTACTGGCCATGGGCGCCGACCGGTCGGCACTGCAGCGGCTCGGGCTGACCGAGTGGATGAGCGACTGGACCGAGGCGCCGCAGCTGGCATCGGCGTTTGGGGTGACGTGGGACGAGTTGCGGGCGCACCCGAACGGGCTCGACACACTCGCACACGTCTCGCTCACCGACGCGCAGGCGCAGACGATGGACCTGGAAGCAACGGTCGAGGCGCGGTACGGCGGAGTGCACTGGGGCGCCGGCGCGCCGGTGCTCAACCCGTACGATCTGAGCCGTGCGCTGTCGCGGTCGGCGCTGCTCCCGTTCTGGGCCGAGGACGTCGGCGAGCCGCTCCTCGACGCGCTCTTTGCCAAACATCATCCGGCCGAGTATGTGCTCAACGGGGCGTGGTTCAGCGAGGCCGGGGCGGCCAACGCGGCCGTGACCGCGGCGCTTGTCGACGGTCGGTTCCTCCAGCCGCGACGCGGACTTGCTGCGGTGGCGCCGCCCAACGCCTTTGCTCGCAAGTCGCTCACCGCATACCTCGCCGGCGTCGGCCTCCGCATGGAGCGATCGCTGATGTGGCGGATGCGCGAGGCTCTAGCTGCCGGTGACTTTACCGCCTTTGTCTCGCACATGTACGCTCTGCCGGCGCTTGTTGTCCCGCTGCAGGGCGCGCGTGTCGAGCTGAGCCACTGCTTTGCACTCCTCCGGTTTGTGCTCACCGCTGCGGCGCCGCCGTCGGTCACGGTCCGGTGCGTCCGCCCCGCATCGGCGGAGCTCCTCCTCGAGCTCACGGGCGACGACGAGGCCGGCGTGCCATCGGCCCGCGCTGTGCTCCAGGTCCGGATGGCCGGTGAGGCGAGCCCCGGGTCGTGTGCCTCTGGGCTCGACGAGACACGGATCCGTGCGGTGTTTGATGCCGACGACGGGGCTCTGGCGGCAGTCGACGTTGTGACGCCGTGAGCGGTCACAGCCGGAGCTGCCGCGGAAGGCTCAATCGGAGCCTGGCCGGCGGCGTGGCAAAGACCTCGGGCTGCTCCAGGAAGCTCAGCGCAGCATGGATCCAGGGCCCGCAGCGACAGTGCGCGCCACGGCGGACGCATGTGCGGACCTTGGCGGCGAGGGTGATGTAGATAAAGACGAGAGAGGCGGCCAGATAGAGGGTGATAATAACGTCGATAGAGTAGTGGCGGGTCGGGTAGATGAGGAGCAGGGCGATGAGTGCGGTGGCACCAGCGAGGACCGGGCGGAGCCAGCGGGCCGAGAGCGCGGTGTCGAGAACCATAACGTTGGCCGAGAGCACGCAGGTGTGGCCGGAAATGATGAGATCGCAGCATGTCTGCTCGTACCCATAGCGCAGGCCGAGCAGCTGCGGCGGGATCTCCATGATGCGCAGCGTGAGCGCGGCGGCGCGCTCTGCGGCGCGGGCAAAGCTGTCGTCGACCACCCGACCGCGGCAACCGGGATGCGGCGATGGGAGCGTGGTGAGCGAGATGAGAACGCCGCGGATGAGCGAGAGTGTGGCATGGAGAACAAGCAGCCGACGGAGGAGGAGAAACCGATCCGGGTGGACGACAAAGACAGCGATCACCACCCAGGTCATGAGCATCAGCAGCTTGTCCGGATCGATGTGGCGGTAGAGAGGGGCGGTGAGGCTAGCCAGCACAGGTATCGGCGGCTGGTGGATCCAGTCGGCGAGCGGAGGCGTCGTCGCGCACGCCGGCCGCGCTTCGTTCATGGCCAGCAGCAGCGAGTGGAGGTAGACGATACAGAGATGGCAGGCAAAGACAGCGAGCGTTCGCCTCAACCCGCGCTGCCACGAGGGGGATGCCGACGGAGGGCGCGGAGAGTGCAGTGGACTGTGAGCATGATTCGCTTCCTCATCTCCGCTCTCTTTCTCGCCGCCGTCGGGTGTCGAGAGCCTCCGTAGGAGCATGGGCGTGTGTGGGCGTGTGCGTATGTGTGTGGAGGGGGGGGGGGGGGGGGGGGGGGAGGGGGTGGGCCACGCGGTGAGGTGGTCAGTCTGGCTTTGCCCGACTCGATTTGTTGGTCAGCTGGTTGGTTGGGCAGAGTGGCGGGAGCGGAAATATGGAGGTGGACTTTATGATTGCGTGTTGCGGGTGATGGTCTTCGGACGGCGCTGGCTGCGTCGAGCGAGGACGGCGCGTCGTGACGGAGGCGGGCTCGTGTCGTCGGCACTGCTGGCGCTGAGGTGAGGTGAGGTGGGGCCGGTCGATGAAGACGATGTGGGCAGCGGCTCGAGATGCAGGGCGACAGAGGTGGTGCTGGAGTGCTCGTCAGTGGCAGAGGCAACAGAGGCGCCGATGGCGGTAAGCAGCTGGCTCCGCGCCTCGGACGATAGCTTGGAGAGCCGACCGGAGACAATGGCAAGTAGATCGGCGTCGCTGTCGGCGAGGTCCGGTTGGATGCGGGATGGCACGGTCGCGTTGTGGTGCAACTCGCGAAGGAAGCCGATGGCGAGGGTGAGAAGCGCAAAGGCGATGACTGCGAGGACGATGACGACGAAAATGACAAAGGTGGCAGTGTTGGGGAACTCGTCGATCCAGAACAGGAGGCCGCCCACGAGCAGGGCAACGATGCAGCAGTCGAGGGTGATCTCGATGGTGTTGAGTAGATGGTAGCGGTACGGGGCGTGCTTGGAAAGCAACAGCATCGAGGTAATAAAGACGGCGAGGAGACCCGAGAAGAGAACCGACTGGGCGTTCGAGGCAAAGACAGAAAAGACTACAATGAGCAGCCGCTTGATCATGACTGGGACGCCGGCGTAGTAGTGGCGATGGCGAAAGACCGAGTACAGCGATCCGTACCGGAGCTGGACCAGCGGCGACGCCAGTGCGTGGCGCCACTTGTGTAGAGCGACCGAGTAGAATGCTGGGAGAGCGACGACGTAGACGCCCACACCGACCAGCGCCAACGGCAGCGTGGCGAGCCACGTGGTGGCAAAGCACTCGAGGCTCGGCTCGGCATCGAGGTACCATCGGCCGTTGGGATAGCGCGAGCAGTCAAAGAAAATGAGCGCGGCGCGCGAGAGCGGGATGTACACGAGTGGGCCAAACGAAGATGTTGCCCAGGCGGCGACGTCGCCGATGCTCACCTGAGCGGCGCGGAGCCGCGCGCGTGCCATAAGCAGGAGGGCGAGCAAGATGAGGGCAAAGACGAGCGGAAAGAGCATGGCCATGACGTAGCGGATGGCAAACGAGGGAACCGAACAGTCGGCAGCAAAGAAGGTGATGTCGATGTTGGCCACGTTGGCGGCCTCGAGCACTTGCTTGACCGGCGGCTGAGGCCAGTTGAGCGGAGCACGAGCAAGGATGCCCAGGACCTGCAAAAAGATAATGGCTAGTGAGAGAGAGTGCGGGGTGCGGAGCCCGGACTTGGCCTGGTCGTCTCCGGAGCCGGAAGCGCGGTTGCTAAAGCGGCGTACGGCGAGGACGCCACAGACTGCAGCGGCGACTGCGGCCAGTGCTACAGCGGCAGCAAGGAGTGCAATGAGCGAGCTGGCCGCGTTAGGACAGGACTTGCATGATCCGTCCTGCTGCCGATACGCGCCAGTGGCACAGTCCTTGCACAGCAGCGAGTCAGGTGCGTAGTTTGGGCCACAGATCGACGAGCCGATGCAGGCGTCGGCCACCACACACTCGGCAAATGCCCCAGACGCAACTCGGTAAAAGCCTGGGCGAGCATAGGGGGAAGCAGAAGGGCCCGTGCCACCTGGGCAGATGGCGCCGCGCGGGCAGGCCTCACACGGCGTATTGGCGGCGTTGGCGGCGTTCCAGAATCCGCGCGCGCAGACGCACGGCGGAGCTGACGATGCCGAGGCGTTGGTGGCCGCGACCCGGATGGTGTTGCTTGGGCAGAGCACGCAGACGCCGTCGATGGGAAAGCCGGTACCGGAGCAAGTTGGAATGGCGGAGCATGGAGCGAGTGAGGCGTCGTTCGACTCGGTCCCGTCGGGGCAGAGCTGACAGACCAGCGGGCGGGTAGTGTCGGTCGACGATGCGCCACGGCCGGGTGGGCAGTTTGTGATGGTGACAGAGAGGGCGATGGAGGCACCGGACGGGAGCGAGATGACCAGGTCGAACGAGTGTCCGACACTGGCCGGCCACACGCCACCCACCAACTGCAGGCCAGCGCTGCTGAGCAGGTAGCCATTGGCGATGGGGTCCCAGCTGACCGAAGCGTCGATGGCGGCAACTGACGACGACGCAACACCAACTGAGAGAGTGAGTGCGTTGTCAGTGACGAGCTGACCAAAGGCGTCGGATAGCACGATGGTGCCACCATCGTCGCCGAGCCCGACTCCTGATGGCGCGACAAGGGCTGCGCCGGCTCGCGACCAGGTCAGCGATGCGGCTGGCGAGGCTGAGATCGGGCCGTACGCCAGCGGCGAGGTTGGAATCGGATCTGTGGCCGGGAGTGAGGCGGTGCGGACAGCAAGCGTGGCCGAGAGTGGAAGGCATTGGTACCACACACCACCAGCTTGGCTGTAGCGAGCTACTGCCGAGGTGAGGTTGGCCGAGGCGAGGTCAACTACGACGCCACACGAGAGGGCGATGCCGCCGTAGCGCGCGGCCGACGAGCCGATTGACGAATTGGCAAGAGCGATGATGGGCGATGATGGCGAGAGCGAGGCGAGGGATGAAGGCGGCGGAAGGACCGGCGCAACATGGCCAGGAAATGAGTGAGAGAGTGCACCTGTGGCGGCCGCCGCAAACGTGCCGCCAAAGACGGCCGACGAGTCGGTAAACGCCGAGCGGAGTACGAGCACAGTGGCGGAGACTGAGGCCAGGTCGACGTGGAGTGCGCCGCCATAGCCTTCGGGCGCAGAGTTGGAGGTAAAGGTCGAGTCGGTGATGACGACAGTGGTGGCGGTGGCGGCGCGCACGGCGATTGCGCCGCCAGCGGCACCGAGCCCGGTGGCAGCATTGCGGTCAAAGGTGCAGTGGGTGCAAGCAAGTGATCCAGCTTCAAACACACCAATGGCACCTCCGCCCGAAGCATACGACTGCGGGGCGTCGGTAACGGTGTTGGCCACAAAGGCCGAGTCGACAAAGCTCGCATCGGCGCCGTGGTCCAGCGCGACGGCGCCTCCAAACTGCTGCGCGGTGCACGAGGCAAAGGTTGAGGCGTCGGCTGACACGGTGCCTGATGCGGCAATCGCGGCGCCAGAATGGGCAGAGAAGCCAGTGATGGACGTGTTGGTAAGAGAGAGGGATGCGCCCAAGTCGACGACAATGGCAGAAGCTGGAGTGGTCGAGGTGGTCTCGAGCGACATATCCCGAAGCGTGAGATGTGCCGGCGAGGCGACACGGAAGATAGCACTGCCATGGCTCCCGCAAAGGATGATGCCACCAGCCAACGTCATGTCGCGGGTAATGGTGTGGTGGGCATCGACAGGACAGGGACTGGGGTGATGATGTCCGGGAGGTGGAGGCGCGACGGTGACGGTTGCGCCGGTGGGCGATGCCGCGGCACGGGCCGAAATGCAGACCAGTGAGTGCGGAACGCCGCCGCACTCGGGCAAGTGGCTTGGCTGGGCAAAGTCGACCGCCCCAAGAACTAGGACGCCGCGCGAGAGGGCGAGGGCTGTCGGAGATGCGGTGATGATGTCGGGTGCGCCGTTGCCGGAGAGATCGCCAATGCCGAGACTGGCGGCTGCGGCTGCTGACGGCGCATCAAACGGGTAGCGGCCGAGCGGTGAGAGCCAGACGTAGCCAGTGAGAGTAGAAACAAGAAGCATGCCGCCATCAGCTTCTGTGGCGAAGAGATGGAGCGCGACGATGGACGGGAGTGAGTTGGCGAGGACAGATGTAGCACCTGTTGCGCCATCGGCGAGGACGACGACGTCTCCCGAGTCGAGGGCAACGACGATATCGACAAGCGCATTGCTGTCGTATTGCCCAGCGGTGAGCGCAACCGGGTTTGCCGAAACGACGTGGGCTGTAGGCGGGAGATACGCGTGCTGGAGGGCGACCGAGCTTGGATTGGCAAGCGCGACGTAAACTGTGTTGGGCGTAGCTGTGGCAAAGGCGAGGTCGACGGCGGCGGTGGCAGCGCGAAAGTTACCGACAATGTGGAGGCGGATGCCGCCAGGGAGCGAGTCGAGCAGGACCGGCGCGTTGGCGGGATGGACGAGGACAGCGGTGGCAAGCGATCCGCCGATGAGCAGGTCGACAGCGCCGTCGGCATTGGCATCAACGGCGGCCATCCACCTAGGGCTGCCAACAGTCGTGATGGGAGTGGGCGTAAGAGGAAGAGATAGAGAGCCATCGACAGAGAGCGTGAGCACATCGATGTGGCCGTCCGAGTCAAAATCTGCTGCGAGAGTGGCAACAATCGCCGACGCAGAGGAGGCCGAGGTGTGGGGTGTCGGCGGGGAGAACACGCCACCGCCCTGGCCGTAGAGGATCGTGGTGGTGGCCTCTGCAGCACATGTGAGAAGGACGTCGGGGACTATGTCATGGTTGAGGTCAGCGACGGTGACGGCTGGCGTTGAGCTATCGGTGCACCAGGTCGGGCCGGGAGTCGCGACGATGGTGACAGCAGACTCCATGTACCGCGGCACGGGTCCGGATCGCCAGACGACGGACTCGCCAAAGTCGGGTACCCGCCAGCAGCAGCCGATGTAGTGAAATCTGCGGCCATCCATGGGCCTCGAATTGAGCGATGGCCATGCAGACAGAGGGCGCGGCATTGTCTGCGCCAAAAGCCGCGGCCCGCGTAAATGACAGGGGCGAGGTCTGGAGGGCCAGACGGAGCGCACCGCCAGGGACGTTGTAGTTGAAAACGATGTCGACGAGCCCGTTGTGGTCGAGATCGGCGAGACCAACGTGGAATGGCAGATCAATGCGTGTCGAATCAATGTGACCGATTCGGGCAAGAGTGGCATCCGAGTTGATCCGCCACAGAGTGTACACGCGGCCGACGGTAGTGAGGAGCTCGGGAGAGGCGTCACTGTCGAGATCGAGGAGGAAAAAGGCGGCGACACGGGTGGTGAGAGTGAGAGGAGCACCAAAGGCAACGGTTGGGGCGCCGCGGTTCGCGGGCGAGCAACGAGCTGGCGGAAGCGCTGGGGTGAGCGAGGCAGGACAGTCGAGCCAGTCGAGCCAGCCGGGCCCCGGTGCGAGTGGGAGTGCGGTGCGCAAGGCATCGGTGAGCAAGGCGTCGCGCGGGACGCCGAACAAGAAAGCGCGGTACTACGAGATTGCGGTGACCGACAACGGGAGCGGGATGGAGCACGCGGCGATTCCACAGCTGCTCGGGGTGGTGCTGTCGGGGACCAAGTATGGGGTGAAGCAGACGCGCGGCAAGTTTGGGCTCGGGGCCAAGATGGCGCTCATCTGGGCCAAGTCGTCGACGGGCGTGCCGATCGAGGTGTACTCGGCGACCGAGGGCGCGGCGACGGTCTCGTACTACAAGCTCGACATCGACATCGAGCGCAACCGGCCACACGTGGTGGAGGAAGGCCAGCTGGAGAACACTCAAAAGTGGCGCGGGACCAAGCTGGTGGTCACCATCGAGGGCTCGTGGAAGTACCAGAAGCGAATTCTTGAGTACATGCGCATGATGGCGATCCTCACGCCGTACGCCTGGTTCCGCTTTGCGTACACCGGCGTCCGCAAGGAGACCTCGTTCGAGGTCCAGTACCCGCGGCGAGTCAACGCCGAACTACCGCGGGCGGCAGTCGAGGTCAAGCACCACCCGCGGTCGCTCAACCTGGTGCTCATCGACAAGCTGCTGGCTCAGGTCAAGCCGTCGACGGCGCTCAAAAAGTTTCTTACCTCGGAGTTCTCGTCGGTCTCGGCGGCGCTTGCGCGCAAAATCGCCGAGGAGCTGCACCTTGATCCGGCGACCAAGGTCTCGCAGCTCCCGCCCGAGTTTGGGCACCACCTCTTGCAGCTGTTCCGCGAGATCCGAATTCCTGAGCCGTCGGGCGACTGCCTCTCGCCGGCCGGACAGTACAACCTGTTTCTGGGCATCAAGAAGGAGATCAAGCCGACGCTGGTGGCGACGTACCAGGAGCGGGCGCACGTGTACGAGGGCCATCCGTTCATTGTCGAGGTCGGAGTCTCGATCGGCGGCGAGTCGATGGAGCCCGGGGTCACGGTCTACCGCTACGCCAATCGCATTCCGCTCCTCTTTGAGCCCGGCAACGATGTGGCGACGATCACGGCGCGCGAGTTCAAGTGGAGCACGTACAAGATCCGACCGACGCTGGACAAGATCGGGGTCTTTGTCTCGATTGTCTCGACGCACATTCCGTTCAAGGGCACCGGCAAAGAGTACATCGGCAACGACGCAACGCCGATCAAGGCCGCCATCAAGGCTGCGCTCCGCAAGTGCTGCATCTCGCTCAAGAAGAAGATCGCGACCCGCGGCGTCGACAAGGCCAAGGTCGACCGCAAGCGAAAGCTCGCCAAGTTTATTCCCGACGTATCGCGCGCCATGCACGGCATGCTCGCCACCATGGCCGACGAGCGGGCGACCAAGAAGCCGCGCGGGCTCTCGGCCGCCGACGACGCCCTCCTCGACGCCGTCGCGTCGGGCGCGGTCACCGTCGGCACGCTCGAGACCAAGCTGCGAACCCACATCGACAAGGCCGACGCCGAGGGCGCCTTTCAGTTTGTGGCCAAGAACGTCTCCCGCAAGTCCGAGGCCGTCCCGCTCTCCTTCCGCCCGGTCCCGCTCGACTCGCTGCCAGACGTCGCGTTTTCCAAGCGCGGCCTCGTCTTGCGGCTCTCGTCTCAGCTGCGGGCCGAGTAGCCTCCAACTGCGCCAGCTGCGGACTCGTGTGTGACTACATTTTATCGGCTGGTGGATTGCATCACAACGAGGCTGGCGGGCGCGCGGTTAGGCCATGGACGAGCGGGTGCGGTCCGAGGTGACCCGGTCCATAAACTCGGAGCGGCGACGCTCGAGCTCTGCGGCGTTCTCGTCGACGGCCGGCTTGGGCGCGGCGGTGTAGAAGACGCCGCCGACAAAGCCGATGGTGAAGATGACAAAGACGATGAGGGCGATGATGACGGCACCGGTGGCCGAGTTCTTGCCCGAGTGAAGGTCGAAGGTCGGCGCGGTGCCCATGCCCGAGGCCGTCGAGGACGTGCCGTTGGAGGGCGTGGTAGTGCCGTTGCCGCCCGAGCTCGAGCAGTCGTTGGTGAGCGAGGCCGGGATCATGAGGTCGACGTCGGCCGAGGCGCGGAAGTCGTGGATCGAGAACGAGGCCTTGGTCATGGCGGCATCAGGCTCCGAACCGTTGTTGGTGTAGGCGTAGATGATCTTGACAGTGCCGGTGGCAAGGACCTTGTCCTGCGCATCGTCGCAAGTGTTGACATTCCGCTCAAACTTGATGTACGTGTGCATGTTGTCTTCCGACGCGCCGGTCAGCATCCAATCCTGCTTGACGTCGGCCTCGGGGAATCCATTGAACAGGTCACCATGACGGTCCTACACCCACTCCCGTGCAAGGCCAACCAGCCTGTGAGTCGCTCTCCAACCACGCCTGCGACATGCGCCACATGCCCCACACCATGACCATCCTCTTTCTGCTTCTCTACCCCCTGCCTACCTTGCCCACCACTCCAGCAAGCGGCAGGTCGTCGACTCGCGGGTGACTAGCGGGAGGCCACCGCCTGCGCTCGTCTCGCCCGGGGCTCCCTCGACTGACGATTAACTCAATGACAAATAATCGTACGGGCGTTGGTCAGCCCAAAAATTCCAGTCGGCGGGCGGGAGGGGAAGGGGCGAAAGAGCTGGCAGAGGCAGAGGTGGCTGATGGGGGGGGGGGGAGGAGGGATGGAAGGGAGGGAAGGGGAGGGGGGGGGGGGGAGGGAGAACGTACGGAAAAGTAGGTGGTGGCATCGTCGAGGATGCCGCCGATGACGATGTCAGCAGAGGCCATGGAGCCGTCGTTGGAGATGCCGAGGCCGAGCCAGCCCGTGGTGTGGGCGACGAGGCCAAACTCGACCTTTGCGGTGGGGAGGACGGACCAGTAAAGGTCAAAGGCATGAGGCGCAGGAAGGGAGACATGGTGGGTAAAGTCCGCAGGGGTGAAGAGCGGCATACCACACGTAAGACTCGCCAGGAGTGCAAGCGAAACCACAGCAATAGTAAGCTTCATGACTGTAGGTCGAGTTGGGTGTGACCGCACTGGCTAGCATTTGTCCTGCGGGACGGCTGCACCGTCGGGGCGGTGGTCGGAATGGAGGGGGGGGGTGGGGGGGGGGGGGGGGTGGGGGGGGGTCGGTGGACTAATTTTTACG